AACAGTTCAACATGCTAACAAATCTGCAAACAATATACTAACAACTCAATACGAACAACAATCCCTTTCTTATAGAGAATAAAGAATTTACCGGCATCCACAGACTGGCTAATCCTAATCCTAATTAACACTCTGGCTGTCTTCAACCAAATTCAGTAAACACCAATTTGGAGTAACATCAAAGTCCCGTGATGACAGATAGCAGGAAGGGAAAAGGCGTATTGCTGACATCTACTAATATAAAAGGAGATCTTGGTCTAATTGGCTAATGGGCGCTTCCGGGGTAGAGGTGGGGGGGGCATATCCGAAGCATCTCGCATAGCATGTGCTGGCAAAGAAATGCAGGGGCATCGGCTGTACAGGGCGGCATCACAGGGGCACTAAGCAGGGTACAATAAGGAAGGCATAACGACGTGCAGCGACTCCGAGGCTCGAAACCGTGTCATCACCAGCTATTAATAACCCGATCCAGCCAAAGCACTGGACAGGTGCGGCGCTGAGTACCGCCACACTCAGGTAAACGGCGAGGGCCCAGGCGAAAACAGGCACACAAACAAATAATCAACGTCACCGAGCCCCAATGAGAAGAAGTAAATTAATTAAATGGATTTCCGGTAGCTTAGCTCAAGGGTAGCTTGATCAGGCTGCCGTGTGATGAACAGCAGCAGTTGAAATACTGAAATCAGACTTGGCGAACAGGATTTTGATATTTATATAGAAAATATTTAGATAGAATACTATATACTTTCGGCCTCAAATTTATATACTATAAATTTGAAAAACCTTTGCAGATTAACAACTAAAACACCCCACTTAGAAAAGGAAAGGGAATATGTATGTTCCCTTTAACACAATATAATGTAGCATATAATGTAATATAATATAATGTAGCATAACACAATGTTTAATGTTTTTGCTACAACATAACTACTGGAAAATACGTTTTTGTCTTTTTACACGTTCAGTAGTACATATAATAAATCATAATGGGAATAATTGAGCAGTAGAATGCACGAATCATCATGATAAAAGTATAATATCCAAGTGGGATATTTATACATTTTAATTTAAAGAACCATGAACCATTTTAATTTAAGGAACCAAATACACGTAAACGGCAATGAAATTTTCAAATTCCAATTCCAGTGAAATTCACCCATATCATGCACTTAAATAATAAAGGAGAATGTAAAAACGTTCCAGATCCGAATTGGAGTCAATAAGGAGCACTCTGGAAATAAACTTAACACAATTAATAACGTAGTTATGTTGATCACGGAGGGAACAAGGCAATACTATTAGATGAAGTTCAGAACCCCCAAGACCAGAAGTTCCAGACTGAAACGCACAACGCCCGATTCTGCCGACCATTCAAGCACCCCCCCTCCCCAAAAAAAAGTCGACGAACAACTTGATGACTTTTTACCTTGAACAGTAATACAGTTATTTCCACAGAACCAAGTAAGAGCCCGGTGTTTTCTCTTCCTTCAAGCTATTGCTAAGGGTTCCCCCCCCTTCTCAAAGCCAACGCAGGCTGGAAAGCAGCTGTTGCTGACGAAGGTATGTCTTGAGTGAAATGTGAGAGCTGCTTCAGGTAGGATCATCACTTAGGCGGAACAGACTCCCGGACAAAAGTAACAAAGTTCTTAGTAGGCGAAGACTAGTGATTATTGATTATTCACTGTGGGATCGATCTATCTATCTATCTATCTATCTATCTATCTATCTATCTATCTATCTATCTATCTATCTATCTATAGCGGTGTTAATGGTTTAATAAACACAAGTTCCACGGTGAAAGTGTCTATACATAAATTAAACCCTATTATAGTTTATGAGCCAATATTGCATAAATATGAACAATAAACTGTAAAAAGTGTAACATTGGATAAATCAAACGTTTTGTTATGGTAATTTACAACGCTCGGCTTTGCAACGTAGAAATATTACAAATCTTGAGTAAATTCGTGTGAATTTTGCGTGTAAAAAATTTAATGCTGGCACGGGATCGGTATGCGTCGTGCATTCAGGCCTGTATCGCAAGCAAAGGCCGGAATTTAATTGCAAAACAGCAAAAGCGCTATACCAATTAATTTAAATAATAACGGTGAATGTGACCAGCAAACTTGCAGGATGCTCCCAATGCCGCGATCCGGATTATATTAGACCTATAGTGCATAGTGAAACACCACTTACTATATAGGAGATGCCACTATAGCAGGATCAAAACTGCCTCTATAACTTTCTTTATGTACAACAAGGAAGTTATAAAATAATAACACGGCACCTTTTCACCCAGTTATCTAACGCATCGTTTCTAAAGGAGTTTTACACGATGGAAGTGGAATTTGTGCAGAATCAACCCCAGTGGCCTCAGTCTATGAAACAGTGCCAGACTTAACCAGTATCTTATACTGTATGCCGTCAGCTATGACTTAATGCACAATGGCTTGTATAGTACAGTTAGGCCTAAACTCTGCTACGGAATACATCTATGTACTACTGCCGATGGCTGATGAAATCTGCACTGTGTCCACCGTAGGATGATCGCTAATTATAACTCATAATCCAATTGTCATCCATTTGACCCCAGTTTTTGGGCCCCTTTTGAAAAACAAGTGCATTTCTGTAAGAGCTTCTGTGTTTCCTTCCAGAATGAAACAAGCATGATTGACGATTAAAGACATTTTTACCGCATACTGTAATGGGGGCACATACATATCGAGTTCAAAAACGTTACATTGTAACATTTTGTTCTCGTTTATTCGTATAAATCAATGGGGCTCCTTTATTTCTGGGGAAAACATCGGCAGAGTGCAGCTTTGCCCAAAATGGCCATTTTCTGATAAGTAAAGCTTTGTATGTGGCTGCCTATTGCCATTCTTATTAAGTGATTTTCTGCGCTGAACGACCGGCGTTAACACGCTAAAGAACATGCTCAGAGTATACTGTTCTTGGTCTCTCTCTCTCTCTCTCTCTCTCTCTCTCTCTCTCTCCTTCCCTCCCTCCCTCCTCCCCCTTTCTGCATTTAAGTTTCTCTGCCCATAAACTGATCCAGGATCTTGCCTACTCGTGATTTCAATAAAGCAGCTGAGCAGAAATTCAATCCGAGGTCTAATCACTCGCTCTGATAATGTTGCCATATTCTAATATAATGAGCACACCACTTCTTGGAAGGGATGAGCTGCTCTGGGAGCGGTCACTTGCTTTAACTGACTACCACTCACGACGGCATAGTTCACCAACAGTATTGTGTTAAATACATGTTAGCACCAATGAGTCACACGAGAAACCGCTAAACGGGTAATGTTTTTCAATTAAAAAAAAAGTTCATTAAAAGGAACATGAAAAATATTATTTTTAACCGTTACAGCACAGAACCTTGGTAAACTTAAGAATTAGTTTGCGGAAAATTGACTTATAATATAATATAATTATACATTTAAATGTAATGTAATCACATTAATCAATGTAATTATAATGTAAATATGAATAATGTGAGTATGTAACTTTAGAAATCATGTTGCACGTCCATTCGCGCGGCGCGCTAGAAACTCGCCACCTACAGGCGGTATTTTTCATAGGAATATTATCCTGCCGGCTTTACCTAATCACACAGAGGAAATACACTGAAGCAGACACCAGGGGCGCTGCTGCGTCACATCAGTGAGAGCTGTATACTGCGTATTTGTGTCGGAAACCGAGGCAACAGCTCGTCATAATTTTAACCCCATTTATATAAATTCAGCCATACACACATACGGCCTCAAGCTGTAATGTCGCACACATAGAGCTATCATTTTATAAATATATATACAAACAGTTCGCTGTATTTCTAAGTATGTCAATCTGCATGCTTTACAAGACGCACCTGTTACTTCTACAGAAGAGCCACAGCGCCCTCCTCAGGCAGAAACATGCTAGTACCACAAAACCTACTGATCGTTGCCGAGTCAGTATGAAACAACCGACTACGACTTAAATATACGTTGAGCTAAAGTATATTATTTATGGCATGGTAATTTTTCATTGAATCAGAATTTGCAAAATTGTATGGAACTATCCCTTCTTTGAGACAATAATTAGGGTTAGGGTTATAGGTATCACAGGATACAAGGGTTCACCCTTGATGGGATGCCTGTCCATCGCATGGAACACACACACACACACACACACACTATACACAATTTAGATTTAGTTAGTTTAGCTGCAAGTCTGGACTACAAGAAGAAACAAGTATGCTTGAGAATCCAGAAGAAATATGGAGTGAACTTGCAAAGTTTACACATGCCCCCAGAAAATACGAGATTCAAACCTTCAACCATCTATGAGCAAGGTAATTGGGCTGCCTATACAGGACCATCCTATGTATAGAAGCTTTGGGGAAAATTGTGTTTAAAAGCTCTCTGTCTTATGGAAAAAGGCCATTCTCAGTTCTGGTAGATATCCAATGGTGAACTATCAGTAGGGCCCCAGGTGCATGAAGAACGATATAAGAAATCAGAGTAAAAAACTTAATTACTCTTTCCTCTCCAGTCTTCAAATGTCTTGTGCTGTCTGCATCCCGGGTTCAAATTAAAGTTTCTGGTGTGTTTTTTATTTTTATAGAGAGTCATAAAGATTGTGAAATATAAATCCGTTACCTTAGCTACATGAGCATCATCAGTGAACTATTCACAAGTGTGAGTAGCGCCTATTGTTAGCCATGTAATTCCAGATAAGTATTTCTAAATCATATGAAAATGGAGGACGCATGAAATCTACACACACGGTTCAAGTCAGGATCAAACATGCAGTTTTAATGGCACCTTCAGAGTCCTTGATTCTATAGTGTGAATTCATGAACTCAGCAATGTGGTACGGAAATGCATGTTCCCTTCTAACAGATAACAGTATTGCATGGTTTATCTCAATTATTTGTCATTTTATAGTGGTTGCGTGGAATTATGAAATGAAGCCAGCACAGTGCTTTAGTATCAATTTAATTATTAAACCGATTCTTTTGCCATTGAAATAGCACATCAATAAATTAGAAATCACACCCGAACTGGCTGAGAAGGGACTTCTTTGGCACGCAAACAAGGTCTGTGTCTTTTCTGGACAAAGTGAAAAAGCAGGTTGAGCTTGTTGCTTCAGGGCAGGACTTGAAATTCAGTCAGAATGCTGAAATTAAATGATTAATCTGTGTATTCATTCCGTTTCTCAGTCCGAGCTTCAATCCCATCAGATGATATCTGTTACTTGATGTTCAGCCGGACATGATGTGTTTTACAAATGCTGCAAAAAAAAAAAACAAGCAAGCGAAAAAAATTAATATCTGCATGTTTAGGTCAAACAGGGTGAGAGCTGCAGATGGGGAGTTATCAGTCACCTTCATAACTGATGCATCCATTTCCATCTTCCTGCCCAGACAGCATCTGCTCCACTTCTTTTTCTAGCATCTTTTCACCTGCAGAAAAAAATATATTGTGGTGACCTGGGTAATCTGGGTCAAAGATACGCTGCCTGGCCAAAAATCAGTCGCACACTTTAATATTTCGTAGGACCGCCTTTAGCTTTGATTATGGTGCACATTCTTCATGGCACTGTTTCCACGTGCTTAGGCAACGTCTCAGGGTTTTTTTTCCATCCAGATTTGCATTAATTTCTCGTCAGGATCTTGAATTGATGATAGGTTGAGCCACTCTGTAAAGTCGTCTTCAGCACATCTCGCACTTTCAAGAATCTGTGCTGGCAAATTCATGCGTGAAAATGATTCCTCATGCTCCCTGAACCATTCTGTGACAATTCGAGTCCGATGAATCTTGGCATTATCGTCCGGGAATATGCCCATGCCATTAGGAAAGAAAAAACCCATTGATGGGATACCCTGGTTATTCAGGAGATTCAGGCACTCAGCTGACTTTACTTTATTGCTGCATAATGTTGCTAAAAATGTAATAATGATCCAGCCATTGGCTCTTAAGTACTTGCTGATTTAAATTCAAACGGTGACCTTCTTTTTGGCTGGGCAGTGTATGATAATCCACTCAGGACACCAAACTATAGTTGATACATGTGACATTCAGACACAGAGCATGCAGATTCAATGGTTCCCCATTGTTTTCACAAAAAAGAAAACAAACAACAAGATGTATGGTTGTCAGGTGGAGCTCGAGGCAGAAAAGCACCAACCCAGGGTGACGAGCACGTGACGGAGCTCTGCCCCCATAATACTGCCGTTGCCCTCCTTGTCGAAGACGCGGAGCCCCTCTATGAAATCTTCCTGGGTGCCCCTGTCCTTTGACTTTGAGATGTGCTGAAACATTGGCAGGAAGGTCTCGAAATCCATCATCTTGGTGTTCATCTCTATGGGAACATAGTGGATAAGAAGGGCAGCGGCGTATGGGAGAGAGTTTGATATCAGGGAGGACAGAACTTCACAACTGAAATACAATGGTCTGATTACAGGAGGGGTGAATGAAGCCAAATTAAATACTGGGGGGGGGGGGGGGGCGACATATCACCCCCATCCGACTCCCCTGAGTGCATGTGTTTAGCAGACTAAGCAGAGTTTCTAGGCATCCAGACAAGGACTTTCAATAAAGTTTGAGCATCTGTGTTATGAATGAACTGGCATCCATCCATCTATCGACATGTTTTTGGACTGTGGGAGAAAATCAGAAAATATGAGGTTATATAGATACATGTTAAAAACTATCCACATGTAAAAAGGCATCCGGGCCTGGAAGGAGCATGGATCCATCGGCGCTGTGATGGTGGACAGGTAGCTGGGCACAAGGAGGGCTTCTCCACACTGACCTTCTGGTTTTGGCTTTCCCAGAACCTTCATGACCTCGGCGTTGGTGGGGTTCTGGCCCAGAGCCCGAATGACATCACCGCATTGCGCGTAGGATATTTTCATCTCGCACTTTGGGGTTCTGTCAAACAGCATGAAGGCCTCTTTGAACTCTGCGGACATAACACACGCCAGTTGATTATGTGGATGTACTGATCAAAATAAATGACTCAAAATAACTTGACTTGCAAGCACTAATAATTTCAACGTTTATAAGGAATTCTTCATTAAATTTACGATCATATGCATAAAAAAATATAACTCGAAAATAAAATATTACACAGCTCACCTTCAATTTGATCTGCATTAAATTCAATCTGAAATAGAAATAGACTATTGTCACACAATACCTCACAATAGCACAGCTTGTTACATATTAAGCAAATAATGTGTTCATAAACAACATTACATTAGGTAGATGAAAATAAATGGATTGATATTTACTTAATACCATACCATAAACAAATGCTACATAACTGACATTAAAATGATGGAAGGTCTCATGAGGACCTTAAGATAAATACATGAGGCTACAGAACTGCTTAATTTTATGTGACGTTCCGGAGAGGACCTTCACTGTGGTTAAACTGTGTTTAACCACCACATCAATGGACCATTCATCCAAATCATCAAACATTTGTGTAAAATCACCCATCTGCCCACGTTCTCTTTGGTGCAGGCGAAGCAATGTCTTCATTTCAGAATCTATTAGATCAATAGCTATGTTTTATATGAACTGCGATGGGAATGTGTGAATGTAGCCCTTAACACGCCCAAGATTTTCCGTTATTTCAGCCTGTCGTACAAAAATGGAAACCACCTCAGATTAACATTCTTGGGTTACTGGCTTCAAAGCAGCTTACTGCTATTCTGGGGGAGGAGAATCACTGTGGGATTGCAAAGCCTAGACGGCAGAATCACGTACTGGCCGGCAGAAAGTCAGCAAACGGTCCCAGTACAACTCAAGCCCGTCGGTGGGGCTAATTATAGTTCTCAGGGAATTGGTGTGAAAGCGATCTGCCCCGTCCATCTCTGGTGGAAAAGTGTGTGTGTGTGTGGGGGGGGTGGGGGGTGGGGCTAATTAGGGAATAACGGGAACGCAAAAGCAATTAGCTAAAGCAAGAGCCAAACCGAAGATGGTCTAGTGTCCATTAGCAGACTCTTGTGGTACCACGTGTCTGTCCGTTAAATTCCATAGCCGGGAAGCTCCCCAGAGCCAAATGCAATCTGGCACTGATTTCACATGGAAGAGGGCATGCAGTGTCCTGTCTCCTGTCACCTTGGTGCAGATCTTTCATGGTCTCCCTTTGCTTGCGTGACTTACTTTTAGTCACTCCGATTACTCACTACATTTCCAACTCGCTGTTCAGGTAGATTGCTGACTCTGTTGGTCTTACTGTCTGAGCACCTTGGGATCAAACTGCCCATGTTATTAATAATAGATGGACAGATATGATATGAAGTGGTTTTGCTATAAAATGCAGACAGAGGATTCTTTATTTTCCAGTGGTACATTTCTCAAGAGAGTACCTCGGATAGAGACAAATAACCATGACATTCTGTTTAAAAACTCCAAAAAATCAGAAATTATTTTTATATGTTATTTTCACACTTGGTTGAAGGTACAAAATACGCAATTTTTACTCAGGCTGACTGCTGGCTGATTGAATTACAACATTAAGACATTGTCTGATTTTCCCATGACCCTGAACGGGATTAAGAAAAATTTTTTGCCTGGATTTTTTTTCTAGAAATTTTAGATTGGTATTTGTATTAGCAGAAAAAAAAAAAAAAAACATATGGTAATATTAAATAGACAATTATGATTATTAATAAATCACACAAAAATAATTAGTTAATTGCCTAATTTGTAACAATTGATTTTTCCAAATGGCATTCAATACAAATGTATACTGTTGTTTGACCTGCAAAATTAAAATATACAAAAATATACAAAATATATAGAAAAGTAATTCAGTTGTAACAATGGCCTAAGGGTAGGTTCTGAACTGCAATGCACAACAGACAGCAGGCATAACATCTAGATCCTGATACAGCTTAATTAAATATCATTATTTAACAGATTTAATTTTACGAGTTTAAAACAAGAACCTACACACACAATGGATCCCCTGGAAAAGTTAATGAAGAACAATAGTAACAAACAAACATTAAAATATAAACTGAGAGGCTGGCCCCGTGCTGTATCACCAAGAAGGATTTCTTGCCTAGCTGGATAACGTGTCGGATTTAAGGTCCCCCAGTTTAAGTTAACTTTATCCCCTTTCACTTCCATTTAGCCCAGACTACCTTAAATTCGGCTATGCATGAAATCCAGCTTGGTGATACAGCCCCCCGGAACACCTATGGGGGGGGGGGGGCACAAAAAGAACATGCATTAGAGCAGGCAAGTAGCTAGACTAACATAGAGATAGAGATGTGGACCCATCGACTAGCTGCGTATCCCTCCCCGTATGAGGCGTGGCCGGGGGACTCACGGTGATGTCCTTCGGGTCAAAGTCAGGCTCCTTAGCCTTCTCAGGCTCCGGTGACGGGGCCGGAGCAGGCTTAGGTGCCTCCTTCTTGGGCTCTGGCTTTTTTGGGGCCATCTCTGAGCAGGATGTTCTCCGTTTCAAGAAGGCTGGGGCAGGTGATACAGCCGGGGGGTTCCGCTGACCCGAGAGCATCAAGTCAGGAGTTTTATACCCTGTCCGACTCATTCCACAGGGGTGTGTGCAAGGACCAGCCCACAGAACCTGGACACACTATAAAAGGAGAGACAGATTTAATTATAAAGGGCACCGATAGTCTTGATCCACATTTAAGTTTATCATTCTGTCACATCAGTTCCATCTTTGCACCCAGGAGCAGCGACTGATCTATTAGCTAATATTGAAATAAGACATTAACAAACGGAAAAGACGGTGCTCTAATAAAAGAGACAATACACAGGGGGATGTAAAGGAGGCGGGGAAAAGCGGCTGAGATCTTTTAATAGACACTCATGTTAAATTCAAAGCCCTCTCATACCACTCACTTAAGTCCTTATAAGAAACGGCATCTTGGCGTCTCTGCTGCTTTTAATTTGCGGGCTCTGTCTCTCCGGACGGGGGAGGGAAAGAATTCCTCCTGAGTTCTTCGTCATGGAGGCGCATTCCTTCTGCTCAGGGGTGGGTTTACGTGAGGAACGACCTTTCGAGTGTCATTATCCGTAATTTGTATTGTTAAACCCGCAGGATAAAATTGCTTTGCCGTCAGTCTCGCGCTCGGAGCTGCTGAATGAAGTTAAACCTAGGAAAGACAAGTAACACAAGTACCGACAGACTGCATGCCACTTGTGCCATGAACGCTCATCTGTTTGTGAAGAACAAACTGGACCATGAATCATCTGAGCAGGCTGCACGTGAAGCGCCACCTGCTAACTTTTGCGGGTAACTGAATCAGAGACACTTGTCCGTTTTGCCAGACATGAAAGACAAATGTTTCGCCTTTTGAATGCAACTACAAGTCCGTTTGTCAACTGACTACAGGCTGTGCCACTAAAATTCTCCTCAAAATATTTCAGCCGTATAGGTGGATAATAAATGTAGTATAAGAACTCGCACCATTTTTTTAATCACAAATTCTGCTATAATTTCTACCCCGCTAATATTAAAAAAGGAACTCTCAGAAATTGTATTAAATTGCCTTCTTGCAGTCTATCTATCACATGGGGTTTGTATCGTTAAATTGCCCGGTGTGTGAGCGCGCGCCCTGTGCAGGTTCTCACCTGCCACCCAGAACTTCCTCCGCTTCTTCCGCTTACCGACATCGGCTCCGGGGCAGCGTTGCATAAGCGCTTATCGGAAATGCTTCCATGTAAAGGTTTGTGTTACATTGCTCTTAATCTGTTGGTATCCACTCTATCTCAATGGCACCTATAAACTACATATTCCAATACACTGAACAAGTTTTCACAAGGCGGAATTACAGCAAAGGAGGACATACCCATGAATAGCAGGCAGATAGGGGTGATTGGCAGGATTAATTAGCAGCTCTCGCGCATCCGGCGTGACACTCGCGCTTTCAGACTCTCACGCTCACGCAAGAAAGTTAAAGGCAAATCTATATTTTTCATTATTCCATTGTAAACTTAAAACTAGCTACATCAAGAGCGTTGGGGTAGTTTACAAATACCCTGTAGGGTTTGCAATGTAATAAAAGTGTTACATACATGTAAATGCGTGTGCAGACTTATGAATTGAAAATCTCACTCCAGCCAGCTGACTGAAGTTGGCGGCCTTGTTGACTGGACCCGTGAAGTGTGAAAGGCCTCGTTTATCACTCTGTATGCATTGCAAACACGCAATGAACTCGCATTCCACGTCTATCGGCCAACGGCAGCAGCTGGCGGTCTTGGGGCTGGAATCTGCCAGTGGATCGGAGAGTCTACGCCTCCCCCGGAATTCCCAGAGCTCTAGGTGCCTGGCAAAAAGATCTTTATAATTAATAAACGAAGGTCATAATATTTATAATCACTGTTAATCTTCTGGCGTCAAGAAATTAGAATTAGAAATAAAAAGAAACATTTTCATAAAATATCCCTTTAAGGGAAACCATTATATTAAGTTGATATATCGATAACTTCTTGTCAAGGATTATGATTCCATATGCAACGTATAACGACAAAGTGCTTTAAGGAACTCCATCATAAATTGTCAAAAAATGCCGGAAATTTAAAGGGTTATATGCTAACGTTAACAATACCTGCATAAGTTGGTAAATAAACAGCACGTACAATGGGGAAAAATGTGGGAAAGCATTAATCTTAATTTCCATATTGTGCTCATTCTACCCCGTGCCAGGACCTGCTTATTTTGGACCTTCTCCAAAAATTCTTGCGCAATTCATGACTGACAGTTTGTTCCTGCATGGTACTTGTATTCACACACATTGTTCTTGGACTCAATATCGTAATTGCCACAAGAGGGCACCCTATATCCCAGCTATTCATCACACACTGGCTACATTACAGTTTGGCTTCACAATCCCTAGGTCCTCATAACAACAAACAATGGAGGTTTTGTTTGTCAGGATACAAATGAAGAAAAAATGTCGTGATTAAAATCCATAAGGAGCCATTGGCATTTACCAATAACTTGAGATTTGCAGGCATTATTTTTTATGTTAATAAAGTCATAATTTGCTAAATGGATTTCAAATTATTCACCTGTGGCAGCAATGGGTCGCGACCCAAATTTGGGTCACAGCAAATTCTGAAAGGGTTGTGAAGCAGAGTTAGAAATGTAAGCATTTTAAAACGGGCACGTTGCAATGCTGATCCACGATCAGATTTCCCAGCCCCAATCCTAGAATTAACCTACATAAACGGGTCTTGGGTCTGCAAATGCTTAGTGCAAAACTAATGAACAGTCAACCAATCCAAGAAGCCAAACCACAGATGTTTAACTTAAAATTTCCCTCCACATCCAATCAGATTTGTGCAATAGGCATTGATTGGCGTAAATTGCAGAGCACCTGCACGCTTGATCATAGCGTTAATTTAAACCTATACTTGATATAGGGTCGCGACTGAGCTGGCATGGTGACAATTGGGTCACGGTGCAATATAGGCTGAGAACCTCTGACCCTTGGAACTGAATCTGCCGTTACCATTTAATATCAAACTGGAATCATGAATTCCAAACCAAGTGGATTAACCCAACAATAATAGTGAGAGAGATCAACCAGGCCAGCCCCTCCCCAGCAATGTGTCACCCTCCAGCAGTAACAACGCCGATCGCTCTCCCCAGCTCTTCCTGCTACAGGCTGGAATACATTATTGCTTCCCTGCTTACGCTTGTTCAGCTGGTGTGTCAAGCCAATGGTCACGTCCATCTCTGCAGCGTCCGCCTACCACAACAGTATATAATTACTGTACATGCACCAGAATCAAAGGCAAAACAGTATGAGCGACAACTGAGACCTGAATTCTGGCACTATTTATGTACATACTTCAGTCAATATAATACTCATCAAAGCAAACCTTAACACTGCATCAGATTAAGGCACATTTGCCTTTATTTTGAATTTAACCTTGTAGGATAAGACTAGGATTCATAAAGGCCAGACAGTCAGGACCCTGAACCAAGAGTGATGTGCGTTTGAGGAGCTTGCATCTGAAATAATGTAGAAAGGAGTTATCGGACAATTTTTTTGGTAACCTAAGATGATTTTTTTTCCTAACTTGTCCTCCAATTAGCCCACATTTCCAGAACTGCTCCCAAGTTGTATTAACCTGCCTTGCCTGTGAAATCCCCTAGAATTGTAACACGTTTAAGACGATGGAAATCTCACAAAAGCAACTTCATTTGTTTCCACTACCCCATGAATAAAGGAGACACACGTCATGCATATCAGGACCAAACACACCCTGCTTGTACCTACCACACAAGTGGGGGGG